AGAGAGAGAGAGAGAGAGAGAGAGAGAGAGAGAAGAGAGAGAGAGAGAGAGAGAGAGAGAGAGAGGAGAGAGAGAGAGAGAGAGAGAGAGAGAGAGAGAGAGAGAGAGAGAGAGAGAGAGAGAGAGAGAGAGGAGAGAGAGGAGAGAGAGAGAGAGAGAAAGAGAGAGGAGAGAGAGAGAGAGAGAGAGAGAGAGATAGAAAGAGAAAGAAAGAAAGAAAGAGAGAGAAAGAGACCAAACTAAAAGATAACCGAAAGGAAAAGCAAGGAAAAACAAAAACAAAAAACAAAAACACGCATCTTTTCACGCGACGAAAGCTCTCATCCGACAGCCTGGGATTAGTCCAAAGACTCAGGAGGGGAGGAGAGTGTGAGGGGGGGAGGGGGGGAGGAGAGTGTTAGGGGGGGGGGGGAATAAGGAGGGCAAGGAGGAGGAGGGAAGGGGGGATAAAGGAGGGCAAAGATGGAGAGGTAAGGGGGTAAGGAGTGGGGGAAAAGATGGGTGGAGGGGAGAGAAGGGAAGACGAGTGAGAAAGGGAGAGGAAGAGAAGGGAAGAGGGGTGAGAAGGTGGGAGGGAGAGAAGGGAAGAGGGGTGAGAAGGAGAGAGGGAGAGAAGGGGGGAAGGAGGAAAGAAGAGCAGAGAGTGGGAGACAAGAGACGGGAGCAGAAGAAGAGGGATGCAGTAAGGGAGAAAGTATGGAGGAGTGGAGAAAGAAAGAGAGAAGAGGGAGTGGGGGGGGGGGTCAGGAATCCTTCAGTTGCGTCTTAATTAAGTTGATTTTCAGAAAAGTTGCTGCTCGATACTACAAAGCCAGGAACAAAAGATCCGCCGTAATTATAAAGGGCCGCTTTAATTACGAAAGGATCGTCTTAATGAACTTTCTTTCATACCGAGATTGGGAAACGTCGAACTGGCGGATGGAGGTCGCTTGTGTTTACAGTGCCTTTTAATTACGATTCAAAATATATATTCATTTCTTTCCACGAAACGAGTCGTATATTTACATAGAATTAAAATTTTCTCCATCTACAATCTAATCCAATTCATTCTAAAGGAGCCTAGAGTCAACAGCCATTGAGTACCTGCTCCCGCGCCCATCCTGGAGGAGGAAGACGCAAACAACACGCTCGACGAGGCAGGACCCGCCCCGCCGCGCCCGCACAATAGCTTAGATAACGACACAACAACAACCACGTTTTATGATTCGCTGGCCGGACCGCGATTCGAATTATTCAAGATAAGGCAAAACCGTGATAGGAAGATGGCGGGGGGAGTGCATAGACGGTGCTTGTGACGATGCAAAACAGGCCTGCGGTGGCAACGCTGCCAGCTACGGAGGTGGCACTGATTGTTGTGGATTATGGCACCCTCCCCTTCCCCACCAACCCTCCAACCGACGCCGTCCTCCCCACCACCTCCTCGCTCTCCGCCTACACGCTATCAGCCAAACACGCGTGATAAAGCTTCTCATTTATCAAATATCCTCCCAGATACAGATTTAAAAAAATAATAAATATGTACACAAGTATCCCGCCGATCAAAAAGACATCCTGTATCCTTACTGCATCCTTATTCATCCGCCACAAACGACGATTATGCCTTCCTACCGTGTCCTTGGCGGCGCACGAATTTTCTCGGTAAAATACTGGATCTGAGAAAAATACCTGCATCCTCTGCGTGCGTGTGTGCGCGAGCTTTCTTTTTTTTTTTTTTTTTTTCGCGTGTTTTCTTTCTTTTGCGTGTGCGTGTGCGTGTGCGTGCGTATGCGTGTGCGTATGCGTGTGTGCGTATACATATGCGTATGCGTTTGGCAATCAACAATTCAAAAACATACGTATATATAAATAGGAAACGAGGACATAGGGAGGAAAACTAGTAGGACAGCAAGAAATTAGGGTGCTTTGGTAAGTGTGTATGTATGTATGTATGTATGTATGTATGTATGTGTGTGGGAGGGGGGGGTAGAGGAGGTGGTTGTGCCTTCGGGTTGAGGGGGAGATGTGACGCTCCACTGAGAGGGGGGGGGGGAGGGTGTGGAAGGTGGTTGTGCTTTAGGGGGAGGGAGGGAGGGGGGGGCTGTGACGCTCCACTGGGCAAGAAGGACGTCACGGATGAGTCACAACTGCGGTCAGCCACAGACACATGGCTGCCCCCTCTCCCCCCTCAGCCCAACTCGGCCTTCTCACTCCGCTCGCGTAATAGGCCGAGGGCTCCTCACGCTCGAGGAGGAGGAGGGGGAGAGGAGGAGGAAGGGGGAGGAGGAGAGAGGAGGAGGAGGAGGAGGAAGGCGAATTGGAAGATGAGGATGAGGAAGAGAAGGAGGGGTGAGGAAGAGAAGGAGGGGAGGAGGAGGAAGAAGAGGAAGGAAAGGGGGAGGAGAAGAAGAGGAGAAGGAAAGAGGAGGAGAGGAGGAGGAGGAGGAGGAAGAGGAGCACGAGGAGGAAGAGGAGCAGGAGGAGGAAGAAATGATAAAGGAACAGCAGCATAAGAGCACCAGCAGCACCAGCCTTTGGACGCCTTTGCTGCCCTTGACGTAGTATCTTATTTCAGCTCAAACGCATTTGTTCGCGCTAAGGAGGTCCGGCTGCTGTCATGAACCGCCATACACGGCTGCCATGAAAACGTTCTCGATTGAATAATAGGCCGGATAATCACATTTCCTCTCTCCTATCAAGGAGGAGGGGACGAAGGGACAGGGAGAGGCGAAGGGGAGGAGGGGAGCAGGGAAGAGGGGGGATGCGAGAGGGAGGAAAGAAAGCAAGGGGGGAGAAGCAAGGGGAGGGGAGAGAGAAGCAATAGGAAAAGGGAAGGAGAAGCGAGGGGGAAGTGAGCAAAGAAGGACAGGAGGAGGAGGGGGAAGGGAGGAGATAAGGATGTGGGCGGGGGAAGAAACTTCCTCTGGTTCCAAGAAAGGCGTTATTAATAATCAACGCCCCCCCCCCCATTTTCAAGAATAGAAAGGTATTTACGAATATATCACACATTTCCGGTTGACTAATTGCAACCTATAATATATAATGGTATTGATATTTTCCCGTTGTATTTTGGCCCTGTCTTTATGCAAACAATTTTCAAATCTTTCAGTGTTTCGTAATAAAGTTTGAAGGCTATCGATAAACAACACATTTGTTTATATCTTCTTCCAATACAACATATTCAATACATGACATTTGTATCATTCACGGTATCCCTTAAGGATTATAAACAGCACGCTGGAAGCACGCAGCTCTTGAAATCAGACACTAAAACATAAAAAAAAAACATTTAAATACACTTTTTGGTTTCCATGACGTCAAAAATGTTCGTTCTGGTCTCTGGCGGCGTGACACCCGACGCTCAAGTGACTCCGCATACCTGAAGGCACGCTGAAGGAACGCTGCGTAATCCCGGGAAATTCTAGGGAATCTAGGGCTTCCTATCGTGTCCAGGGGGGAGAAGGGGGGGGGGGTCTCGCGTGTCTTGACAGCGGTGGGGGCCAAGGGGGGAGGGCAGGGGGATGGGCTAGGGAGGAAGGGAAAGGGAGAGGGGCTGGGGAAGGAGTTGACGGGGATCGTGGAAACTGAGGCGGGGATAGGGGGAGGGGGTCCGGGGAGGGGTAAGTAGGGGAAGAAGCTGGGGGAAACGAGGTGTCCAGAGGGAGAGAAGAGGAAGGGGGCCGGGAGGGTGGCTCGCTGGCTGGCTGGCAGGCCGATCATGCACGAGTGAACACAGAGAGATGGCCACAGCGGGAGTAAATAACACTCCTGACAGCAGCTGCCACGTCAACACTAACTGGTTCGTCTCGTCTCGGCAGGGGTTCAAAACGCGACTCGTGACATGACAATAACTCGTGACAGAATGGTGACAGTGAGCGACGACCTTGGGGTTCTTTCAGCCGTGCATATCATAAGTGCACATTGTCTCATTAAACATATTAATAACATCACGCGCAGACGGCTGACCTTTACTAGCCTATACAAGCATGACGTACCTAAAACCTGACGTGTCTCGTGACGAAAAATAAATCATGACAGACCACACTCTAAGAGTAAGCCCAGTCTTAAACCACGCTGAAAACCCAAACCCTAACGGCCACCTCACAATGAGGGCTTCAAGTCACATCCTCATAAAGTACATTGAGTACTACATACCTCGTCAAGTCACGGTGGGAACTGCATAACTGACCAACCTGCAGGGAGAGCACGCAGACTGTCACGTGACCACGGAGGCAGAAATGTCACTGACACAGACATTGACAAATTGCATCCTGTAGCCAAAAAAAAAAGAAGAAAAAAAATCCATCGACATATAATAATCCGAGGTTGCTGTTACTGCCAGGAAATGACTAATGACCTTTACAGATCGTTTCACACGGAGCCCAGAGCTGACACCCACGCAGCTAAAATCCAAACCCTGATATCTATCCACTTCCAACCATCCACTAATCCGCATCCGATCCCTAAACCAATCCACTGAGCTCGTTACGCTTCCCCATCTCATCCCTTCTATTTCTCCCCATTTTATCTCCCTCTCTCTCTCCGCTTACCTCCCTCCCCCTCCCTGCCTCCCCAACTCTTAGTGAACATATACATCATACCATATACACATATACATATATAAACATGTCACAAAAGGGGAATGCAAGGCCATGCAACGACGCGACGTTGCCCGACCACGGCGAGACTGACGGCCTGACAGTCAACTCGCGCGTGTGGCAACAATGCACGTCACGATTCAACCATGCGCGGTCAGCATATGGCAGTCGAAAGTGCCTTTTAATGCTCACCGAAATTTGAAGCTTAAACGGAACGAAAACTAGTGAGTAACTATGACTAAACAAACAGTGGCAATTAGTAATAAAATGTTTTATATTTTCTTTATTTAATAGATCAGTCTTCTTCCTAATGTCTAACACAATGTGCAAATTACGTTTCGGGGTCTTTAACTCATGGTGTTTAGGCAGGCAAAGCAAGTGTTAAGAAACAAAACAAACGTAGCAGAAAATGTAGATAATGTTTACCCGTCTTCTGTTTCTTCGTGGTAAATGCAACATCTGGAAGAATAAAGCACATTAGAATGATGCCAAAACGCTTGCTTACAGCTGACTGCTACGTCTCTCTCTCTCTCTCTCTCTCTCTCTCTCTCTCTCTCTCTCTCTCTTCTCTCTTCTCTCTCTCTCTCTCTCCTCTCTCTCTCTCTCCTCTCTCTCTCTCTCTCTCTCTCTCTCTCTCTCTCTCTCTCTCTCTCTCTCTCTCTCTCTCTCTCTCTCTTCTCTCTTCTCTCTCTCTCTCTCTCTCTCCTCTCTCTCCTCTCTCTCTCTCTCTCTCTCTCTCTCTCTCTCTCTCTCTCTCTCTCTCTCTCTCTGAATGTTGGGTACTACTGCACAGATAGAGGCAATATCAAAGAACTTTCATTAAAGCGCATACAAAATCCATATCACCATAAGATATATCAACATATTGCAAGAAAAAAAAGGTGCCGACATTGAAACATACACAATTATGTCTTCAAACGAAAGAGCACAAAACAGTGCTAATTTGAATAATATCTTATTCTCGAAAAGCAAATTCAGGCAAGAGTGCATGACATCAAAGCAAAACAAAGTAGGGAACACAAGCTTAACACAAGGTCCAAGTCCAGCCTACTGCATGCGAGGCCGTGCAACTTCGCTGTCGGTACAGTAGCTGTGTTAAGGTGTATCGGGCGGAAGGCAGATTATTGGTCTTTCTGCTTTTTACTTGTTTCTCTGTTTACGCCTGCCTGTTTGTTTGTTGTTAGCTTGTTTGAGTATCTGGTTCAAGTTTTCATATTCATGCAAAGGTCGTCCAGTGCTGGTTGGTCGAATAGGCGCAGTATTTTCGCATTCCAAGCTGGGGAGACCATAGATAATAACAAAAACTCTCTCTGTATAAAATAGAAGGGTGGTAACTTCCGATCGTTGGGTGTGTATCGACCAGGGCGCTCTCACTGGCGAGGGCGAGGTGAGGCTGCGGCGGCCAAGCGCTCCAGACATGAAGAGCTGGAGAGATGTGGGTCAGTAAGCCCCCCTCGCCAAGGTGTGGTGGTGATTCCTCCCAGACGTCCACAAATGCTGCTTCTTCGTCCCGGGGAATCGCCCACTTAGGTTCCTCGCGCATTCCCATGACGAGAAACCCCATAGCATGAACACACACCAACGCAAGGTCTATATACTTATACAGACTTTGCACCAACGAGCCGAAACGTTCAGGTCGTGTGTGACTGCGTCCTCCCCGCCATGCACGGCAGGAAGCCAGAATGAGAGTGAATGCCGATGCGTCTGGTGGGACATCCCGTTCCTTGCACGTCATGCTCATGGCATGCAGATGTACGCAGCAGCAGCAGCTAATGCCAGTTTATATTATCTATCTAGTAAATATGATACAAGCTAGCGATTCGGAAACAAAGGCCATGATTCAAGTTCGCATATACAGAATACATCACGTGGCGTGTTAAATACAGGGCGCCTATGGTTGTACAGTGCCAAAAGGTCATGCTCTAAGCAGCCACAGAGAACAGATGCTACTAGTTAAGTGATACAATCAAGTGCTTGTTTAAGAAATATAATAATGCGAAGGAGGGGAAAGGAGAGGGAGAGAGGGAGGAAGAGATGGAGAGAAGAAGAGTTGAAGTAGAGAGGAGGAAAAGAATAGAGGAAGAGAAGCGAGAGCGAGGAGAGAAGAGAGAGAGAGAGAGAGAGAGAGAGAGAGAGAGAGAGAGAGAGAGAGAGAGAGAGAGAGAGGAGAGAGAGGAGAGAGAGAGAGAGAGAGACGAGAGAGAGAGAGAGAGAGAGAGAGAGGAGAGAGAGAGAGAGAGAGAGAGAGAGAGAGAGAGAGAGAGAGAGAGGAGAGAGAGGAGAGAGAGAGAGAGAGAGAGGAGAGAGAGAGAGAGAGAGAGAGAAGAGAGAGAGAGAGAGAGAGAGAGAGAGAGAGAAGAGGGGATAGGAGAGACAAAGAGGTAAAGGGAGAGGGCGAAGAAAGGGAGAAAGAAACGGACAGAGAAAGATATAAAATAACAGAACGAGAGCGTGTGTGTGCGTCAAAGCAATTACAGAGATCCATAACAAAATAAAACATACTGTAAAAGAGAAAGGTTAAGCAATGAAATCAAAATGCTGTGCATGATACTTATGTACACAACATGCATTTATATACATAAAACCAAAGCACTAAGTAAAGGCCGCATGACTGAAGCCTCGATTCAAGACATAAAATCGCCATTTGCAAAACAGATATGCTCGAGGTATGGCAGCCATTACCTGATATTTCCGCTGTGGTATATGCAACATCTGCAACAAAAGACAAAGGAGTTAGTACAGGGTTAGTAACGACCGTATGCAATCATCACCGGGAAATGCAAGATGTGTGGGGAAATGCAAGAATATAAATCTAATTATGAGAATACTACTATTTATCTACTATCTATCATCTACCTGAAGTTGCAGTTATTGTTAGTAAGACTAATAAACCCATCCACACAAAAAATAAAATCACAGGTGTGCCCGTTTACCAATGAGAATTTAGTCACTCAAATTATATTTTACACCATCCGTGCATTAGTCCCCATTACCAGCATTTTAATTAAAACTTACACCAAATACTTTCACGTGTAATGGATTCACGCAAAACCAAATGGTAAATAAAACACGCACACACGCATGCAACCGCGCCCACACAATCACATAAACAAACATTCAAGGGAGGAGAAGGGAGAGGGGAAGAAAGGGAGGGAGAGAGAGGAAGGGGCGGGGCGGGGAGAGGAGGGGAGGGATGCGGGAGAGTAAAGGAGAAATGGGAGAGGGAGAGGGGAGGGAGAGAGAGAGGGAGAGAGAGAGAGAGAGAACAAAGAGAAAGAGAAACAAAAAATAAAGAAAGAGAAAGAAGAGAAAAAAATGAAAGAAAGAAAGAGTGAGAGACAGACAGACAGACACAAACAGAACGAACGACACAGACGGAAAACAACGTTGCCATAAATCCACGAACTGCACCAATTCCCCATGACAAAAGCACTCCAGGAGCAATTAATCTAAAACTCAACCCGTGCATTACCAAACAGAGCCACAACCTGACATGCAAAATAATCAAAATAACAATCAATGCAAAGAGGGATTCATCACGCCTTGCAACAACACAATCAAACCACGGACCGAGCTTTCACAACATCTCATCGTCGAAGCAAGCAAATCAAACCATGAAAAAGGCTCTCACAAAGCCCCATTGTCGAAACAAAAAAGCAAGCAACAAACCAAAAAACCCCAAACAAGGCTCTCACAACGCCCCATCGTCAAAAACAAGCAAATAAACAAACCACGAAACGGGATCTCATAACACCTCATCTTCTAAACAAGCAAGCAGATCAAACAAGCCAAGCAAACCGAAAATTCGGCTCTTATAACGACCCACCGTCGAAACAAGCAAGGAGACCAAACAAACTAACTAAACAAACCCCAAACGAGGCTCTTACAACGCCCCACCTTCAAAATAATCAAGCAAGGAAACCAAACAATCCCCAAATATGACTCTTACAACGCCCCACCTTCAAAACAATCAAGCAAACGAAACAAACCCCAAACAATGCTCTCACAAGACCCCACCATCGAAACAAGCAATCAGATCAAACAAACAAACCAAAAAATAAAAGCCCTACCGTCCAAACAATCAAGCAAAACAAACCAATCAAACCCCAAGCAAGGATCAACAAAACAAAGCCAAACCCCAAACATAGGCCCTCACAAACGCCCACCTTCAAAACAAGCAAGCAAAACAAACCCCAAGCAAGCAGATCAAACAAAACAACCCAAACAAACCCCAAACAAAGGCCCTCACAACGCTCCCACCTTCAAAACAATTCAAGCAAAACAAACCAATCCAAACCCCCAAGCAAGCAGATCAACCAAACAAACCAAAACAAACCCCAAACAAGGCCCTCACAACGCCTCACCTTTCAAACAATCAAGCAAAACAAACCCAAGCAAGCATGATCTCAACCAAACAAACAAAACAAACCCCAAACAAGGCCCTCACAACGCCCCCACCTTCAAAACAATCAAGCTAAAAACAAACCAATCAAACCCCAAGGCAAGGAGATCAAACAAAACAAACCCAAACAAACCCCAAACAAGGCCCTCACAACGCCCCACCTTCAAAACAATCAAGCAAAACAAACCCCAAGCAAGGAGATCAAACAAAACAAACCCAAACAAACCCCAAACAAGGCCCTACACAACGCCCCAACCTTTCAAAACAAGCAAGCAAGCCAAACCAAAACAAACCGGCCCGAGCGCGGTAACCAGACGGGCGAGCGCGCAGCACCGCCTTTCTTCCCTCGCGCCTTGAGTTCGACTTCGTTGAGACAGACAGACACGAAAGACCTCATAAAGCGACGAAGTTACTGCGTAATATGACGTATTTTCTTAATTATTTTTTTCTGCTTATTCGCCGCCTTTATATGGAGGAAGAAGGAGGGAAGGGAGGAGGAGAGAGGTGGAGATGGCTGGAGAGGGGAGAGGGAAAAGGAGAGAAAGAAAAGGGAGTACCAGGGTGGGAGAGAAGAGGAAAGAGGAGATGAAATATAAAAATCAGATCTGGCCAGATAGAATGGAATCCAAATGACCAAGAACAAAAAAAAAGACAAAAAAAAAACCCAAAGACTATGTAAAGACACCCAACCCTCATAATTACTAAATCACAAGCACACTTAACAAATGCTCAAACCGGACAAATCTCGAGTCAAGTGCTAGGGTAAAAAAGAGAATTGGGATCATTTAAAATGAACAAGGTGGCAGGTGATTAAAAAGATAAAATAAACGACTGAAAGTATGTGATTTATATATGTTTAAATAATGATAAATGATCTCACTACTAAAAGAAAATACAACAACCAAAAATATATTGATATAATGAACGAAACTTCACATAGAGAGAGATATGACGAAACACCATTAGAAACCCAACAAAATCAAGAAATAAAACAAAAAAAAAAAAAAAAAAAAAAAAAAAAATAATAAAAAAAAAAAACAATAATCAAAAAAAAAAAAAACCAAACAACAGCAACAACAAACAACAATAACAACAAAAAAAAAAAAAAATCTAACAGAAAAAAAAAAAAAAAAAAAAAAAAAAAAAAAAAAAAAAAAAAAAAAAAAGAAAAAAAAAAAAATAAAAATTTATAAATAAAAAAAAAAAAAAAAAATAACTTATTCTAATCATATAATAAAAAAACACCAACACAAACCCAACACAACAACACACACAAAACACATACAAATAAACAAAAAACAGGAATGCTTATCCTACCCGTTCCAAAATAAATATTAACCCTAAGAAACTTATTTGGTGGATTGGTGTTAAAGAAAAGAAAAGAAACCAATAAAGAAGAGAAAAGAAAAAGAAAAGAAAAGAAAAAAGAAGAGAGAGAACGAGAATAAACACAAAACAATAGAAGGCAGTTGATATCTACATGAAGGACGTTCTTAAGAGGAGACTTAAGTAAAAAATAATAAGGTTATAAGTAAAACAAAACAAGAAAAAATCAAATCAACTAAAAAGAAACATCAAAATAAACGAACCAACAGGAAGGCGCATTCCACGAACGATTAATAAAAGCGATCAATAAGAAAAAAACGGAAAAACAAAGACCACACTTCACCGGATCCTCTCCACAAGCACGCGGAGTCTATCGCACAATCAAGAGTGGGTCCTCGCGTCGGGTTGGGACCATTGGGCACTGAACACGGACTGAACGCCGAACACTGAACACTGAACATGGACGCAACTGGGCGCTGAACCACGAACACGAACTGAACTGAAACACGGACTGAACGCTTGAAACACTGAACACTTGAACACGGACTGAACGCTGAACACTGAACACGGACTGAACACCACTGAACGCTGAACGGAAACTGAACGCTGAACAACACGGAATAACTGTCAACTGATCAACGCTGAACACTGAACACGGACTGAACGCTGAACACTGAACACGGCCTCAACGGCCTGCAACACTGTAAACACGGACTGAACGTCTGAAACACTGAACACGGACTGAACGCTGAAAACTGAACACGGACTGAACGCTTTGGAACACTGTGAACACGGCCTCAAACGCATGACAGCTGAACACGGACTGAACGCTGGAAAAAACTGAAACAAACGGAACTGAAACGAAAACTGAACACTGAAACGGATGCCTCAACGCTGCATACACTGACACACGGAGCTGAACGGACTGAACACTGAACACGCTGCTTCAACGCTGAACATTCTGAAACACACGCGCCCCTCAAACAGACCTTAAGAACACTGAACACGGCACTGAACGCTGAATCAAATGAACAAACGGCAAAACCTCAACGCTGAAGTAATTTGCCCATACGGAACTGAAACGAACTGAACAATAAAAAAAAGAAAACTAGAACCACTTGAAAAACAAAAAACGGAGCATAGAACAACGCATATGAAACGACCAAGAAAACAAAAAAACCCTGAAAAACGACCACCTCTGAACGCTGAACACTGAACACGGCCTCAACGCTGAACACTGAACACGGACTGAACGCTGATCAAAACATAATGAACACGGCCTCAACGCTGAATATTGAATACGGACTGAACGCTGAAACACTTGAACATTAAAACACGGAACAATAAGAAAACGACACTAGAAACAGAAACAACAGATACACGAACACGGGACGAATCTAACAAAGCGAAAAACATATACAAATCAACCCACCCATCAAACTGAACGCTGACACGCCCACGCCACAAACACTGACACCGTACGAACCCAACTGACACTAACAAACTGACACCCGGAAAATGAAAGAAAAAACAGAACTTGAATCACCTCGACACGGACAGAAATCTACAAACAGAGCTGAACGAACTTGAAACAGACGGAAAACTGAAACGAACTGAAAACACTGAACAAAACGCGAGACAAAACATGCAACAGCTAGAATACATCTGAAAACAACACGAAGAAGACTGGAACCGAAAACTAAAAAAAAACAAAAGACTAGAACACGGAAAAAATAAAGAAAAACGAAAGCATAGAGAACACGTAAAGAACACGGAAGACAATGAACGCAAATGAACACCTGAACAGAAACGGCCTCAACGCTGAACACTGAACACGCGACTGAACGCTGATACTGAACACGAGGCCTCACGCTGAATATTGAATACAGGGAACTGAAGAACGCAAAACTAGAACACATGAACACGGAAAGACATGAACCTGTAACATTGAATACAAAGAGAACTGGAACGCTGGAAACAGGCT